TTGCAGCTGAGTAGTACTCCATTGTGTAAATGTACCACATTTTCCTTATCCATTCTTCAGTTGTGGGGCATCTAGGCTGTTACAAGGTTCTGGCTATTACAAATAATGCTGCTATGAATAAAGTTGAGCAAGTGTCCTCGGTAAAACATTTCTAAAGCCAGGGGAAAACAGAAGAAAAGAATGGGGAGAAGAAAGCAGAACTAGATATAGAAAAACACCAGGAAAAGGAGAATGACAGATAAAAATTCAGTCATGAGGGAAGCACACATAGACCAAACAAACAGGACAACTGTCACGGTGAGAGAAGTAGGAAACTTCTCCTTAAGGTCTGTGGGGAAAATAGTTTAAAGATGCTGTAGGATGCTCTGTATGCTGTGAATATGTGTTGCTCTGATTGGTTAATAAATGAAACACTGATTGGCCAGTAGCCAGGCAGGAAGTATAGGCAGGATAAGCAGACAGAGAGAATTCTGGGAAGAGGAAGGCTGAGGCAGGAGGAGACGCCAGCCCACAGTCCAGAGAGCAGCATGCAACGACACACAGGTAAAGCTATGGAACACGTGGCAACATATAGATTAACAGAAATGGGCTGAGTTTAAATGTAAGAGCTAGTCAGTGGTAGGCCTGAGCTAATGGCCAATCAGCTTTAATTAATATAAGTCTCTGAGCAGCTGCAGACTGGGGCAGGACACAAAAAACTTCAGCTACATAAAGATGTTTAAGTCATTAAAGGAAAGAAAACAAAACTATAGCAATCAGCTGCCCAGAAGAGTATGCCGGCCAGCACACCTGACAAACTAGGCTGCCATCCCAGCCCAGATCCAGTGCCTGGAGTAGGTGGAAGCATTGCAGCTTGGATGGAAAGGTATCCTGGCAGTCTGGAGCCAAGGAATACCAAAAAGTCACTGTAAGCTCGGCAGTTTACAGCCCTGCTCCGGGGAAAGGTTTCCCCAATGCAAGTATAACCACTTTGCTCCAGCAGGGGAGGGTTTCACTGGGGAAGTTGTTACAGTGCTGCTCTGCTAGGGGAAAGTTTCCCCAGCTCCAGGAAGCAGAAATGTTATAGTTCTGCTCAGGTCCCCCAAAGTGTAACAACTCTGCTCCTCTAGGGGAAAGTTTCCCCCAGCTAAAGTGTTATAGCTCTACTCTGCTCTGGCTCCTGTGAAAGTTATTACAGCTGGGCTTCATTCCAGTGAAAGTGTCACATGGCAAAACAAACCTCACTTGAGAGATTTATTGGGAAAGAAAAATCCAGAAGGGTGGCTGTTTCAGCTCTGGTGAGAAGCATCAAGTAGCTGAACAGATTACAGAGTTTATATAGGGTTGTGGGGGTTGAGCTTCCCAGGGGCGCTTGGGATTGGGGGGGTTTTGTGGCAGGTTTTGGGGCAAGCTCAAGCAATCGGTGGGGTTTTGTGCTCAAGGACTGGTGGGATTTCAAGCCCTGGTCCTGGGGTCAAGTCAGGGGTAGAATGTTCTTTCCTTGGCCCTTTCTACCCTGCAGAAGGTCAACCCCAACACTTACTCCATCTACAAGTTTCTGAACCACAAAAAGAAGCCAGTGCCGCAGAAACAGATTTAGGAACATGTCATCACCAAAGAAGACGTAAACCTGAAGTATGGCTGAAATAGAAAAAGTCTGGTATTTAAGGTGTTTCAGAGACCAGAAGTCTTGAGCCAGACCAATGACTCGTGACAATGAGTATTTGCATGTAGAGCTATGTGGGGGGAACAAAACACACTGAGTAACATGTTGAAGTTTCCAACACCACTGTGACAACAGAATATTTGATGGAGGCATGGGAAGAATGGAGGAATAAAGAGGTGAGTACTTTGTGGAGAGAGGCTGAACTATGTTGGTGTCCAAGGCCTGAATTACTGCTGGAGGCCACTTCAATGTGCAAGGCCTACTGCCCCTGAGACTGTGTTTATGTCTCTGGCCCATGCTACCACCAGGGGCCCTGTCTGGGTCCAGGGCCCTGCAGCCAGAGCTGTGTTGATGTCTGAGGTCCATATTACCATGGAAATCTATGCACTTGTACATTGTCTATGCTGCTACCTGTTGATATCCATGGCCTATTCTTTGGAAGAGGGCTGTGTTGATGTCCCTGGCCTGCACTGCCATCAGAGACCATGGTCATTATGCAATACTCTCCAGAAACTCTACTAAATCCATCCTCTCCTTTCTACCTCCCCAACGTCTTGTCCTCTTTTTTTCTTTTTTAAATAACCCACTGCATCTTATTTGTACTGTCCCTATACTCCAGGGTATGGGCTCATACACTGGAGCATGGTCAATCTACAAGAGGCCACATCCTTACAGAAAACGGACCTTCTATCCCCTAAAACCCACCAACTGTCCATAGTTCTACTATGAGGAGTCAGGCAAATAATTACATTTTAAATATAATAATAAATAAAACCAACCTCTGTAGATGTAACCAACGGTCTTATTAAATAAGAAACACAGAGCCAATTCAGAGAAGAAAGCCAAGAGGTCAGAGCTCAGAGCCTCACCCTTCCTGATTCAGGGATCCTCTTCAGCCAAGAGAGCTCTCCGAAAAGGACCTACTTCCTGTGTGTCTGTCTTTAAAGTCTTCCTGTTCTGCCTTCTCATTGGTTGTAAACCCAAACATGTGACTGCCTCGTCACTGCCTGAATGTACCGCCCTCCAGGTCCTTAAAGGCGTGCGCCACCGCCGCCACACACTTGCTATGGCTCCAATAGCTCTGACCCCCAGACAACTTTATTTATTAACATACAATTAAAATCACATTTCAGTACAAGTAAAATACCACCACAAACCTCATTCCTGAGGATGTTTCAACCATATCTCATTCCTGAGGATGTTTCAAACATAATAGTTTCTTCATAAGAAATAGGTCCCTCTCAAGTGAAGGCTGTTGAGATGACTCCTCTTCAACCCTTATTTAAAGGGGATGAGGAAAATAGTCCTCTTGGCTTGTCATGGCCAATCTGCATTAAAGAGTCCAATTATCCCACATAACATTTACTTTTAAGATGAAGTAGGAAATTTGAGACTAACACATAATAAAAGATGACCTACAAAAATAATCAGAATGCTCTGGGATTTTGTGCTCTTTGGGTAGTTGGTTTTGTTTTTGTTTCATTTTGCTCTGTTTTCCTTCTCCCCCTTTTTCTCTGTTTTGTAAAGGCAATTCACTAGACCCAGGAAGGGACCTTCAGTTATATAAATTTGTGTTATGAAACATTGCTGCTCCCATTCATATTTCTCCCTTACTCTTGCAATGAGTACACACAACTGAAGAGCTCTTGCATTAGGCAGGCTGGAGGGGCCTGGCCTTCGACATAGTGTCTTGGTTTTACTTGTTTTATTTAATTTTACTTTTTAACTAAAGCTATAGAACACTTCTGGATTAAGTAGAATAAATTTCTAAATTGAAAAATAATCAGAACAAACAATTCATGCTTATTTCTCCAAAATAAAGAGAGCATATACACCACGTGTCCCACTTTTTGGTCCTGAAACAAAAGCACATTTTGACTCACTATACAGCTTCCTGAAGAAGCCTCACACACTGAAAAACTGAGCAGATTTGGAAATGAAAAGAACACTGAAACATACAGCCAATTTGGCAAGGATGCTTCCTGTCTGTGAAGCATCAACCAAAGTTGTTTTATGTTCCTGCTTGTGTGTCTTTTATTGCCAATGAAATTAGACTACAACATATATAAGAGCTGAGAGTGCTGGGCCTTCGTCCTTCATCTTCCTCCACTGAGAGTAACTTACCAGAGTCCTCCTGGTCAGCACTAATCAGCTAAGAGGAAGCCTCTCCAAGGTAGGCACCTGAAAAATGAAGCCCTTTAACTTGGCAATACATTTGCCTGGCTACAGGGATAGCATTTTAATGTGCTGTTTATAGGATATTCTTTTTTCATCACTGAAAGAATAAGTGCATACAAGAAATCATTAAGCCATAAAATGCATTACATTTTGAAAGTTTTTGCAAGTAACAGAAAAGTAATCATGTTGATCACAGTGAGTTCACCAAAGTCCACAATTCCCTTTCTCCTCCTTGTACCTTAGGGTTCTTTAACATTCATAATGATGGGCTACTCTCAGGTGTACTCAGAAAGAGAATTATTCTAACATACATGTTTACCATTTTTCTTATTTTTAAGCTTCACAAGAAATATATCTTAGGAAAAACCAATAGGTCACATATGCTTATAGTACCTAGTGGAAAATTGTTCCTAAGATTCTTTTAAGGTTTTCATTATTCAGCTATCTTATTTAGGCTTTTACCAGAGTTGACTCTGGGAACTGAGAGGTCATTGTATGCAGTGGTAGAAAGGAAGAACCCAGGAAATATGGTTCTGGAAATTACTTACAAAATTTAAGACACTGAAAAGAAAATAGAGCTAAAGAATGATGTTTTCTTCTATCCTAGTTATTTATGGAATATATTTGGATGTTAGAAATCAGGCTTGAGAACATTCATTAAGGACTAACATGACTTAGTTCAATGTTGAATGATGCTTTGCCTTTTGATTCCATCTAACTGGAATTCCTTATCTTCCTGATGTCATGAAAATTTATCACATATGATGAAGTTAAAGTGGTAATATTTCAAATACAAGTCTACATAAGCCTGTTATTATAGAACAAAATGTGTACGTGAAAAATGTCCGTTTCAGAATAACTACTTTTAAGCCAAAGGCTTTACTTGGAAAACTTCTGTTGCTCAGAATCTTCAAGGAGAAATATCTGATGTTCTCTCCAGCCATCAGCTCACAAGTCAAATGTGAAAACTAGTTCTATCATTATACAGTCAAATGTTATGAGCTGACCACTCATACTACCCCACTAATCCTGAGTCCAACACAAGGGCAGGAAAATTATTTTCAGATACACTGTACTACATACACGCCATGTGTTAAGACAAGTCACAAATAATGACATTTTATTTTTAAAGAAATGTTAATCAGCCACTATGCTTACTTTCAGGAGCCACCAAAAGATGAAACCACTGTATTTGGTCTTGGGCCTTTGGGTTCTTGGAGGATGTTTCCTAGTAAGTATCATTAATCTCTACCATGCATCTTCATATTCTCTTGTTAAATTTTACTTCAAACTTAATAATATTTATCTGCCTTTCCTAATATATATGAGCTGCAAATTACTGATGAAACACCACTCTAGTACTTTAAATTTCACTTTGAAATTCTGGTTTAATTTAATAGTCACAGAAGGCTGAGGATTGCCATATTCAATTCTCAGGCCTTATGCAGATTTATACACAGATAAATCACATATGTACTCATACTCCAGCAACTGCACAGGTAGCTCTTCTGACCTGAACTTAAAGCTGATTTTCAACATGTTCATGTTCTTAGAAAAGTCACTAAACTAGGTATTAACATAGCAAATAAATATTGCTTACTATTCAAAAGTGCTCTGCCAAGGCAATCATTGCCTACACATTCTGGGCAATATTAAATCATTCACAGCAAATGACTTTATGAAAAGGGCCTTAGGCATGACTAACAATATCTCATAACTAATCTGACAGACTCCAGGGTGTGGAAACATATATGAAAGTCACTTTCCAAAGGTGGAAACAGAGTTGTTTCAAACAAGCTATAGAGCCACACAGTCTGTATATGGCAGAGGCAGGACTCCAACCACAGCCTTTACACTACAGAGACTACTGGTCTTCCTCCCTTTGGCCTGTTGTTACCACCTTGTATTGTAGCTACCCATTCCACAGAGTCACGTTAAACATAACTGTACCTCCCACCACTACTACACTAATGTGTCAAAATGTACAAACTCTGTAACATGGTTTGCAATTTATTGGAATTAAATCCTAGAACAACCCTAAGCTCTTGAATAAGACAGACATTTCCCAAGCCTGGAGGGCAACTACTTCCATTTGGGATTGATTTCAGGGAAGGAGTCTACCAACAGCTAAGCTTAAGATTTTTGCTCATGGTATTTTGTTGGGCCCTGACCCCCGTTCCTTGGGTAGCTGTTGCCTTGCTTGCTGACCTTGGTCAGATGTCCTCACTATGCTAATTCCCTGCCGGTTTCATTCCGTCTAAACAGCTTACCGGAGGTTTCTTGTTTGGGTATCCCGCATATTGGTGTAATGCTAGAATGTAAAACATCTGTAGCGAACTTCTGCCCTCCCAGGTTCTTCCACTGTGCTGTAAGCGTGTATTTAAGGCCTCTTCCCTCCTTCAATAAAGGGCATTCTACTGAGACGAATGACCCACTGTCTTGTCTCTATTTTAATCCTCAGTCCCTCGTTAGGACATGGTGAACAGGTACTAGTGCAGGCACTAGAGTATTTTCTTTCCCTTCAATACCATCTAACCTTTCATTAAGAACCTGTATGTTCCGAACAGAGAGGGAAGCATTTTTTTTTTACTAAATTTCAGTTTTTGCTAAGAAACATGTAACGGTTCTCTATTGTTATATAATAAATAACCACAAATTAGGACTTTAAAAAACCTGTTTACTATAGTGTAGTCTATCTTGGCTTAGTTGTGTTCTCTTCTCAAGTGCCACACAAGGCAGAGGAGGAACTCTGAAGGTATGTTCCATTCTTCATCTCAAGGTTATCCTTTTCACAGTTCATGGAATTCTGTCCCTTTACTGCAGTATTGCATGGCCTCGACTTTGTTCATTAATATTTTAATTAACATAAAGTAGCAGGTTTTCCTGTGGGATTTTCATATTCCATTTGGGTGGATTTTCCCCTTACCCAGGCCTCTGTTCCCCCTTTCCCACACTGGACCCTTTTGTTTCAGTATTATTCCTTCTTCTTTGTTCTATTATTTTCCCAACAGTCTCCCTTAAAGTTTATTTTCCAACTTTAAAGGAAAATAAAATATGAAAATTTCAGAAAAAAATGGATGGAACTAGAAAATGTAGAAAACACAGTAACCCATGCTCAGAAAATGAAATACCATGTATTCTCTCTTAGATCCTAGCCTCTAAGTCTTAAATATCTGTATTAAGGCCATGTAAATATGGATACAGACCAGGACACTAGAAAATGTCCATGAGACGAATCTCTGCTTTCTTGCTGGCCATGAGCCAGAGGCCACTCTGATCTAGTATAGCCTAGTTGTCGTGTGTTTCTTCCCAGTACATAGCACCTTTATTATAAGTCAACAGACCATCTGCTGCAGCATGAAATCTCTAGCTTCTTCTGCCTCCAGCATTATAGAACTTGTTTTAGAAGAGCATATCTGATAAAATCAGGCCTACAAATGTCTTTGGAGAGTGGGACTTTTAGGAACCATCTTAAATTTCTACCCACCCCAGAAAGTGTATGTGCTGATGATTGTCTGAAATATCTAATTTAAAATTGTTTATTTCCTTTCTCCCACAGTCTGGTCAGTGTCACAGAGGCCCCAGAGGACGACATGATCCTAGAGGACCACCACCTCCTCCTCCCCGTCCCTTTCGTCCAGGATATGATAGACCACCCCATCCTCCTTTTAGACCAGGACTTGATAGACGACCCCCTCCTTCCTTTGGTCCAGAATTTTCTAGACTATTCCCTTTTTTATTTCATCCAAAATTTGGTGTATTTCCCCCTTCTCGATATGGTCCTGTATCTCAACAATTCCCTCATCCTCCCTTTGGTCCAAATCCACCTCCCATAGCAAAACCTCCACAACCTAGTCCTCCAGCCAATCCTCCTCCCACTCCACCTTCCTCCACTCCACCTTCCTCCACTCCACCTTCCTCCACTCCACCTTCCTCCACTCCACCTTCCTCCACTCCACCTTCCTCCACTCCACCTTCCTCCACTCCACCTTCCTCCACTCCACCTTCCTCCACTCCACCTTCCTCCACTCCACCTTCCTCCACTCCACCTTCCTCCACTACACCTCCTACCACAACACCTCCTACCACAACACCTCCTACCACAACACAAGCAAACATAACACCTAGTGCCAACATCTCCATAACTACTCCTACTGACTCAAATTTCATTGATAATTTTCTGAACTTCTTGCAAGAATTATTACTCTTTTTTCAGTCAGGATGAGATATTCCAAAGCACTGTGAAATTTTGGATAAATAATCCTTAGCTTAAGAAACAACCCCTTCCAAGCATTATACAAAATGGAAATAAAAAGCTGAGCAGCATTACGAAGCATCTATTGTTGTTATCAGTGATTACTGTGCCATCTACTGTGTTACTGAATAAAAGTAATCCTTCCAGAAACCTGACCTTACCATGAGGAAATGTGGTCATTGGGGGACATACAATACCAGAGCTTGTAACATAGAATCATAAGATAGATGAATAGATAAAATATGCTCCAGTGTCATTGTCAAATAATTACAGATCACAGAATATGTTAGTATATATTAAAAGTATTCCTCTACACAACATGTTCCTGAAATTCATGGGTATTATGTCATCAATATATTTGACCCCAGATGGATTCTGAATCCATGGATTCAACCAAACTTGCATGGAGAATACTAATATATATCAATCATACGTGCACTGAGAATGTTCTTTTCTACAATTATTCTTTCAATGACCCATACCAACTGTACCCATCAGCATTCATATTGTCATGTGAATTATAGACAATCTGGAGATAAGTTAATGTATGCAGAGAGACTACATAAGGTTAAATGCAAACTGTACATCATTTTAAATGGAGTACTTGAACATCCACAAATTACAGCATGCACAAAGGCCCTAGAACCATTCCCCAAGGTTACCAGGAGATGACTGTACATATAACCAAACTTTCATATTTCAATTCTGAATAAAAATCTTCTAAGAAAATCAAAATGAGATAGGAGGCATATATTGGAATTTCATGTTACAAAGTATGTTCCACAACTTACATTCAGATCAACTGGTCAGTCTCTTCCCAAAAATTGTTTACTTTTTATAACCATGGGAAGGTCTTGTCCATCTTGTAAGTTTCTACACCTCTGAGTCTTGTGAATATTGCTAGCTTCTTGGATTTTTTTAAAAAGGAACATTTCAATTTTTAGGAAATAATTGTGCAACATTTATAAACTACAATTTCTTTAACCATATACCAATGGCATTTGGTTATTTTCAGGATTCTATTTATGATCACATCATACTTCTGTTTATGCATTCCCATATATTACCAAGGATACTCTACAGATTACTACTATATCGTTTGTAATCAACCTTTAGACTAGGTTCTAGGTTGTAAGGATGGTCAGGATCCTAGGTTTATAACACCATCTTTATAAAACCTAACACCATCTGTTGGTAGTGTGCTGTGTAAGCAACCTATTCAGATAGACCAGGCATTATTTATGTGTAATCTATTTTGACATTCAAAAGACTGATTACATAAACATTTCCAATTCTCATCATCTTATGTAGGTGACTTCTTCCTCTCCCTTTATCAATAAAGTAAGTAATTAAAGTTAATATTAAAAATGCCTAAAGTAAGGGAGGCTACCTGGAAAACAGGACCCCAAGAAAGACACAGGGATCGCCCAATGACAGAGAAATGGAATGAGATCTACATGAACAGCCTGGACATGAGTGGGGGTAATGAAAGGCGAGGGTTGAGGGAAAGAGAGCTTGGGGGAGCGGGAGATCCCAGCTGGATCAACAACAGAGAGGGAGAACAAGGAATAGGAGACCATGGTAAATGAAGACCACATGAGAATAGGAAGAAGCAAAGTGCTAGAGAGGCCCACAGAAATCCACAAAGATACCCACACAACAGACTGCTGGCAATGGTCGAGAGACAGCCCGAACTGACCTACTCTGGTGATGGGATGGCCAAACACCCTAATTGTTGTGCTAGAAACCTCATCCAACTACTGAGGGATCTGGATGCAGAGATCCATGACTAGGCCCAGGGTGGATCTCTGGGAGTCCAATTATCGAGAATGAGGAGGGTTTATATGAGCGAGAATTGTTGAGACCAAGGTTGGATAAAGCACAGGGACAAATAGCCAAATGAATGGAAACACATGAACTATGAACCAATGGCTGAGGGGTCCCCACTGGATCAGGCCCTCCGAATGGGTGAGACAGTTGATTGGCTTGATCTGTTTGGGAGGCATCCAGGCAGTGGGACCAGATCTTGTGCTCATTGCATGAGTTGGCTGTTTGAAACCTGGGGCCTATGCAGGATTGTTTGGCTCGGCCTGGGAGGAGGGGACTAGACCTACCTGGATTGAGTCTACCAGGTTGACCTCAGTCTGTGGGGAAGGCTTTGCCCTGGAGGAGATGGGAATGGGGGGGGGGGGGGTTGGGGGGAAGGTGAGGGGGACGGGAGCGGGGAGAACAAGGGAATCCGTGGCTGATATGTAGAACTGAATTGTATTGCAAAATAAATTTAAAAAAATTATAAAGAAAAAAAAATGCCTAAAGTAATCAATATTTTCTAATTGATTCACAAAGAAAAATAATAACCATAGGAAGTTTTTAAGCCTTAAATTTACACTTGATAGAATAATTTCACATCCTTGAGAAAATAAATAAAATTTAATAAATTTTGCTTTCATGTAATAATTGAGAAAATATAGAAAAGTAGATTAAATTGGTTTTTAAGTTACATTATCCCTGTGCTGGCTAGTTTTATGTCAAGTTGACACAATTGATTGTTCTCTGAGAGGAAGGAACTTTAGTTGAAAAAAATAATCCCATAAGATCCAGCTGTAGGGCATTTTCTTAATTAGTGATTGATGTGGGCGGGCCTAGAGTGGTGCCATCCCTGGGCTGCTGGTCCTGGGTTCTATAAGAAAGAAGACTGAGCAATCCATGAAGAGCAAACCAGTAAGCAACACCTATCCATGGCCTTTGCATCAGCTTCTGCCTCTAGGTTCCTGCCCTGTTTGAGTTCTTATTCTAATTTCCAGTGATGATGTGGAAGCATAAGCCAAATAAGTCCTTTCTACCCCCAAAGAAAGTACGTACCAACATAATTAAGTGATAACAGATGGTTTCAGACACCACAAGTAAAATAATGGCTGAGAAGTTTTCCACTTTCTATTGTTTCTATTATTTAAAAATTTAAGGAAAAGAATTTTATGACTACAAAGCAAATGGATTCATTGCAGCATGAAGACTCCCTTATTTTTGACTAAAGAACAGAACTTACGAAAGTGACCTCACATTGCCATTAATCCAAACATATAAGAAATCAAAAATTCTTTATATGAGCTCCATATTCTCTAATTCCACAGACAGCTGCTTGAGATTTTACCATGATGTCTGCATGGACTGTTCTAGTAGCTAAGAGACAGCTAATGACCGCTAAAACTGTCTTAATGAAGTCAGAGCTCAATCTTCATGAAAGTAGTGACTTTGAATGCCCCAGATACATATAAATGAAACTTAAGGAAGAATCATTCCTGAAAAACATAAGGTGCAGGAAGAGATCCAGTCGTGGAAACTGGGTGTGTGTACAAGACAAGCAGAGACAACATCTCCACTCCAATGAATTTGGAGGAGGAACTAAAGAATGTTAGCAAGGATGTTGCTTTTTGTAGAAAGACAATTCAAAGCAAGGGAATCATACACAAAGGTCTGAAACAGCTAGAAATTTGTATGGAGTAGAATGCTAAGAATGCTGATATTGGTACAAGGGTGGGGGATATATAAGGGATTTGATTTTTAGCATTGATTAACTCTGAGGAGAGCAAACATGGAGAGGAGGCAGGAATGGTCCCACATGCCTATAACCCATGCTTTGGGGAAAACAAGGAAGAAAGATCACATGTTTGAGGGTAACCCAAAAACACAGGAGGACCCTGTCTCAAAAAGGAAAAGTGCAAACCATCAAGAGTCTTGGCAAGAGACAGTGGCTTAGGCCATGACCATCAACAGACACAGGGAGAAGTGGTTAGATCTAAGACATAGCCTCTCACTCCCCACCCTGAAAAAAAATTCAAAACTATTAGACAAAGTGTTAAATCTGGGATATGAAAATGAGAATCTAGAATCACTCTGAAAATGTTTCCTTAAGCAACCATGTAAACAATTATTTCATTTCGTGACCAGGGAAAGACCTAAAACCTCAGTATACAAGGATTCAGAATATTCTCAATTCTGCATTTGGATGTGTTAAGGTTGAAATCCCCCTTTAATTTCTGTGTTGTTTTTCATACAGTGTCATAATATATTATCACAAACTTAGTCCTTTACAAGACCTGCTATATCTTATAATTCTATAGATTAGAAGTATCTGTCATAGCATTCATTGGTTCTGTTTGAGTTCCCAGGGCTGAAATCAAGCTAAGGGGAGTGTTGTGTTCCTTCCTTTCTGGAAGCTGCAGGGCAACAACATTTTGAACTGCATTTTTCTCTCATACACACTGATCAAGACTTCAGCCACACCTCTGACTGCAGCCAAAAAATTTACCAATTTCTGAGATTTTCAATTTCTAGTGATTTAATTAAAAAATAGACTAGAGTAAGCGGGGTTTAATATTTCAAGTTGACACCTAGAGGCAATGCAGTTGTTGGGAATTACAATATCTAAGGGATTGCTATGAGAGTATTTGTGAAAAGAAAGCAATGTTAGATTTTAAGTCCATATGCTGGATGTAAGAAAAGCAGAAGTACTAACAAGCAATGGCATTGTATAGATCACTTTCAGTGATGTGGAAGTCACTAAAAGTGACAGATGTAGAGGCCATGAGGAAGACATATGTAATTACTATGTGTCAATTAAAATAATCACAAAGGATACATTTTTAATTAATTAGTATCCAACTCACTGAGTATCTGGGCTATTTTACTTGCTCTCTTAAGCCACATCTAGAGCCTGGTCTTGTTGCCATTTGATCATTTTTCTTTAATGATCATTTATCACTTCTATTTCCTCACCAACATTACAAATCACCATCCAGAAACAAGTTCTCCTTCTCAGCAACTTCCCTTTGTCTTCCTGCATCTGCTCTGCTCACATCCTCCATGTCAGCTCCCATGTTTTACCCCCTAGTCCCTAGTTTCAGAGTTCTATCACTTTCAGCATGGCTGGAACCAGCCACGCTGTGTGGCTGTTCCAGTATTTGCAAATAGGCTTTAAACGACTTTCCTGTCTAATACGGGACTTGAGAGCCCTCTTCTCTGGATGAGTTTCCAATATGTCTATGTTGTCCTCCTGATCCCACCATCAAACATCCCCTTTA